ATAATATCCATAGACATTGGGTGAACAACCATTGTACACACATTAAACAACTACATTAAAAGAACTAGTAATAAAATTCTATCATTCTCATAAAAACTTTGAAGAGCCTAAAAGACTTGCAGCACTTTTGTGAGTTAGCACAAGAGAGAGATTTGGAGTGGACTATTTACACAGTTGCTGAAGATCAGAAATCACACGGATTTGTAATGTGCCTTCAAGTTGAAACTGTTCAACTGATGATAGGCCATATTTTCAGAACTGTTAGACAAGTCGTACTTTGAAAAATGGCAGTTCAGTCTATTACTTTCGTATTTTGGTACTAGTTATTGTAGTACTTTTAGGTTAGGAACAGTTAAAATGAATTTATTTTAAAAAATTTAAATGGAAAAAAAAAGTATTAGTCCTTATTCTAATTCTCTTAATTTACATTATATTTAGTGACAATTGTTAAGTGGATATTTTTGATTAAAGGTATACAAGATATGTGTATTGATTTATAGAAGGTAAACTAACAGCTAAAGGAATCTCTTTACCAAACTGGGGAGTACTTGGGAAGAAATTACTTTTTTAGTTAAATTGAAAAATAGGTGCCATTATGATTTCAAGGAAAAAAATCATAAATTACAGAAATTGGAAATGTCAAACCAGCTCTCCATAATTACTATTTTGTGTTGCTAATATTCTTTTCACTGATACAATGGCATGTATCTTACTAACATTATATTACAATCTAAATCTGAAAATAATTAATTGGTAAGTAGAAGTTTTCTTATATCTAGTTCTTTCATTCCTAAGAACTTTAATGAAATATCTCAAATCTCAGTTTAACAAATGTTTGAAGAATGTCCAAGCATTGTCACTTCATGGATGAGGTTTTGGGTGTTACCATAAAAAAGTTAATGATTTTGTATTTACAAGATTATCTTAATTAAAGGTTAATAAGACGGGGGATATTCTGAAACAGTAATCCCCGAAGTTTAGGAAGCAAAATGAGAAACATCTATCTTCCTGGATTGAATAAAGGGTTTGGTTCAAAATTCCAATAAGGTTACTGAGCATGAAGACATGTCTGAAGAAGGCTGTATCATACAATGCCCAAAATATGAGCATACTGGTCTGAATAGCAAAACATGTAAAAACTATTTTAGTTGCCATGAAAATTTTCACTTCTTGGTATTTTTTTTTTCATCCTCATATATGTGAAATTAAAACCTATTGTTTAACTACTGCATCTTTCAGTTATTAGTACAAATGAATTGAAAACATTAATATCAGGAGAAAAATGTTTAACTTAGTACATGGTGCTCTTTTTGCAGTGTTTAATTTAAATCTGTTAGAAGAATATATTATCAATTAATACATTATTTATAATTGGGTATTCATATGTGTAAACCAAATGTTTTGTTCCTACTTGAAAATGCAAGAAACTTTCAGATTTCTCATCTAATTTAATACCAGAATTTCTATTTAGTAACTGCTTTCATAAAAGCTTGTATAAAATTAATGCCATTAACTCTTGGCTTTTTCTTTCTATGAACAAAAAGAATAGTTAATTCAGCTAATGTTTACTTGACTACACATATATATTTTTATAGGTAACAAACAGACATTTTATATGTATGGATAATTACAGGCAGTCTTTATATTTCCTTTCTGATTTTCTGTTTTCTATAGTAAATTGGGATGATGGCCCAAATCAAATCTTTCAAGACCCACATGCCCACTCTTGTAAAATTTCAGCAATGCTATACTCCATTGGATATGCATAAATGTAATCTTATGGCATAGGCTTATTCAGTTAACTTTAGGATGTTAGTGTTGTGTGCTACCAATTAATTTTTCGTAAGCTGTTTTGGTGATTCTCTCAGTGCTTTTATTTGGATACTAAAGATTTTGTATTAAAAATATTTTACTAGCTATGTAAATTTCTTATAAGCTTCTGACAGTTGATCAAATAACCTAAATTTAAGTGATTAGTTTCACTATTGTATCATAGAAAATTTGTAGCTATTTTGGTTTGTATAAATATGGTTAGTATACAGGTATGAAAAATTATTCATGTTTGTAATGACTATTCAAACCATTTTATGGCAGTTAGTTTTTAACTTGTACTCTTGTGAGCGTTCAGGTCTAATCCTAATTATTAATTTTTATCAGTGCTACTGTGTCTGCACTAATATCTCCAAATTTACTTGCATCTGTAGCCTATTCAATGTCATAACTATTTCAATATAACTAGATGCTTCAATTTCAAAGTAACTTTATGCTTCAGCTCCACTCTGCTATTAAATGATTATACTTCTTATCTACAAGAATATCTTCAGTTACTATTTTGCTTTCTCTCTTCTCTCAGCCTTGACTTATGATTCAATGTGGTATTCTTGGGTTATCAAGTTGTGAATGAAGCATGAAAAAGGTAGGCAGCAGGCTGCTATGTGAAATATTATTTGCTTTGTTGGTAAGCAGACTTTTGGGAAGTCTACCTCTATTACCTTATCCTCTTTCACCTCCTAACAGGTTGCCATTTTGATATCTGGAATTAATGCTTGTAACTAATATTGGGCCTTTTTGGCTAACTCTTGTCACTCAGCTCTGTAACAATTGAAATGGGTTGGGGTAGAACAAGCAAAAAACTTCATTGGGTATAAGAGAATTTGTGTGTAATGGTGGTAACCTGATCCATCACCCTCTCTCTTGCCTTTCATTTTTGTTGTCTAGTTGTGATGGGCTTCTGAGCTTCTCTTGCTGAAGAATGATTCTGTTTGCTTGCTGAACATTGAAAGTAGACTGTTCGAGCAAAAGGTTAAATTGTAAATATGCAGTCCCTGCTCTGAATATATTACTGCATTTATATTTTATTAGATGAGTCTGTTTTTGCAATAAAATTTGTATTAACCAGCTGATAAGGACAAAATTTTAGGGTATCCGTCTATTTATATGATGAATATATTAAGTACTGCCATAGACTTACTAAAAAGAAAATTTAAAAAAAACTTCAAAACACATTTTAAATAATTTAAATGAAAAAGTTAAATTAAAGTTAAATTTTAGATTTAGTTGAAAGATAATAAATAGCCTAAAGTTAAGTTGTATATAAAAAAAAAAAATGTCTATCTAAAAAAAAAACAAAAGATTTTAGATATTTTTAAAATGATGAAGTAAGAAGAAAATAACTTTTGCCCAGTTTGATTAGTTAATTTGATAGATACTGACAAGAGAAATTAAAATTCTTCAAAAAACTTAAAAATCCAATATGTCCCAAACAAAAGAAAAGTTTAGATATTAACTAGTTTTTGTAAAAATATTAATTATTTTTTCTTCACTTTATGACCACATGTAGCAAAAATATTGAAAAAAATATTATAGTCTATTTAAATGGAAAAAAAATGATTTTATACTTTAAATTCCTGAAATCTTGAATATAAAATAGCAGCAAAATAAGCTGAAATAGAAATAAGTAAAATACATGACTGTGTCATTTAATTAAACACCGCTTCACAGTTGGAAGAGTGTTAGTCAAGGACACAATTCAGAATTTTATTTTGGATTTTTATTTTTAATCTTCCATAGAATTTTTTTAAAAAAGTTGCAAAATTAAAAAAATATTCTTTAAAAAATATTTGCTTGAAAATGGCATCAAAATTTACAATTTTTGATTCTTCAAACATACTTTTATTTATACATAAAGTTTTTCAGCAACAACCAAGATCTGAATAAGTTTTAAAATTGTACTGCCAAAATACAACTCTGTTTTTCACAAATATACATCAAATTTGTCTCCAGTGAAATGTAAAATATTTTTTCTCAAAATTCGGTATTAGCAACTCTCCATATTTTTTTTTTTTTTTTTTTTTAAAAAAATTGAGTTTTATTGAATTGTTTTCTTAATATTTCACACTACATTTTTTGTTGATATTAAATAACTGTTAGTGATAGTATTTTCAAGATTTAACTTCATAAAAATGTAAAAGGAACATTCAAAGTTTACTAGGACAGATTAGCCATGTGTTAAGTAAATTTGGGGTATAACTGATATATTATAATAATTTCAGATATATACAAATTGCCATGGGTTCTAAGAAAAATATAATTTTAAGAGAAACAATATTAAGAACACTAAAGACATGAAAGCAATGAAAGTGAACTTTTTTTTTTTTTTTTTTTTTTTTTTTTTTTTTTTTTAAGTTTATGAAAACTGATTTCTCAACAGTAATTTTTAGTGATGACTGTAGAACTGATGGCTGGGTTAGAATCTGGATAGGGGTAATTTAAGAAAAATATTATCTGCCTGGTTAAACTTGAGGCACTTTCTCTTGACCTCTACCTACAATGATTGATAAACAAATAGTCAAACCTAATGTATATATTCATGCTTCTTCTATACATTTTTTTCCATGTATCAAAAGTACTGACTATAGTGGGCATGAAGGAATTTCCTAAGGAAAGCTCACATATACCTTTAAAAAAAAAAAAAAAAAAAGAACTTCAATAGAAATTCACTCATTGTATATATGTGTGTGTATATGTATATATATATAATATATATATATATATATATAATAGTAAAATTTTATTGGATTGAAATAATAAACAAAAAACGTTTTTAAGTGTTAATGCAGAAAATGTAACATTTCATTTTAAAACAAGTATTTGACCATGACTTGAAGGATTTAATATTTAAGTAATATTAAAAACATTATTAATTGATCCACTCTTAAAACTGATTTTTCACCTTGGTTTTTTATCTTTTCAGACTTATCCAGTTCTGAGCACCATGTTGAAAGAGTGGAGTGTCCTACGAGCCTCCATGTTGTCAACTGACGCAGGACAGTTGTCACAGGCCGTCCTCTACTTAAGCCAGACATTTTGTCTTTAAATTGTTAAATTTTTCATTTCTTTTGTTATCTCCTTCCTATTTCCTTTGTCATCTGTGGATGGCACCCTTGTACTGTGTGTGTAAATAGATTGTTTATAGTCGAACTTTGTACATCTGAGCAACAATGGCTGAGTCAGGGCTCCAGATGGATGCAAACAACTGTGATGTTGATGACAGCAACAGCAATAACCATTGCACTAAAGAGAAGCAACTACTGGATTCTAAAGACACCACAGACAACCATGTTAGCGAAGAGAACCAAAACTACAAGACAGGAACGAGTAACCTGTCTTCAAAGAACCCTGGTCTTAAAATAGACCTTGAAGAAAATAACACTGAGGATCTCGAGCTATCATTGTCATCTCTGAAAAAAGATGACAGTGGAGTGGATTTTGAGAAATCTCCTGCTAGCATGAGTGCCCAAGAGGGTACCATTCTTTCAGATTGTAGTGAAAGTATAAGTGAGTCTCTCACTGACAGTGCTGCCTGTTCCTGTACAAATTCCGTAAGTGATACAAAATTTGAAGAGAAATCTAAAGCCAATATCTCAGATGATGACCAAGATGACTTTCCCTCTTTGGATATCCAGGACAACAAACTGGATGACAAAGAGGACTCTAATAATCTACAGCGCACTGCTGAAAAAATGGACTTAGATACTCAGGGCGTTGATGATAGTAATTCCAATTCCAAGTCCGATTCTGTTGAGAAACGGAAACCAAGGCGTGAACTCATTGAATCCTCCAACAGTGATAGTGACATTGAGGATAAAGATGATGATGACGACGATGACGATGATGAAGAGGAGGATCTTGATGCTGATGATGATGACAATGATGATGACGAAGTAGGCAGCAAAAAGCTCTCTTCTGATTCTGAAGAGGAGACAGAAATGGACTATGATAGTAGTAAAATGCCAAAACATACGTGGAAAGCAATAAGTGACCTCTATAGTAGGGAGTATGGACACTCGACTAAAACTCCTGCAAGCCTCTTCAGGGAAAAGGTCACTTCTAGTTTACAAATGGTGCAACGTTTCTGTTTGCAATACAAGATGGAGTACCATGATGGTTGCGTGAATGCACTTAATTTCAATAGAATTGGTGAGTTAATTTTTATATTACATTTTTTTTCTCATTTAAGTAATATATAAAGACTATAAATAGTGACGGAAATGTTGATATTGTCTTGATATTTACTTGAATAAATAGTTACCTTGGATTAATTATTAAGTGAAAGAGGTCAATTTAAAAGTATTTTTATGTACTAGACCTGTTATGATTTTGGAAGTATTTAGTTTCAAATTGTAAAAAAAATATTTTTGGATTATGAATAACCGTATACTTGCTGAGTGTATAAAAAAACCTTTCTACCACAAAATCAAGTTGTAAATGTATATTCATAATCTTGATATATCTTATTGATGGCTTCATGATGATAATTTTTTTTCAGTAAGTTATCTGTTGACCAGCAGATCAGACAATATCAATTTCATATATATCATTTAGTAAATTGGGGGTAATTTAAATTCAGAGGCCTTTTGTAGATTTATTCTTTTACTTAATTTTTAATTTTTTTTTTCTTTTTATAAATTTCTGAATTTTTATCTGCAAATTATTTTTCATTATTGTCAAGGTCAATATTTACCAAGTTAAATCTTTGTAAAAAAAAACAAGACAAAAAAAAACTTTCTACTCAAGATTGGTTAAGCCCAAAATTACTTAATTGCTCAGATCACAATACTGGGAACTTCTAATTATTGCCAACTCATTAGTGGCATATTTTCTTGATACATTCTTAGAATATATTAGCCATTTGAAATACTGTCCTGCTTCTGACAGTGTTTCATCGATTCCCTTATTGTGCTAAGTATCATAAAGCACCAAAGCAACAAAGACTAAAGTGTTATTAGTTTCTTGAATTATTTTACTATGAATATTATCTAAAATAATAAAAATCAATGTGCTTGCCAGTGAAGTTTATTTGATGCTTTCTTATACAAGATTGTGTATTTTTGCACGGTTTGTGTATTTAGGCTTTTAAAAACAATTTAAGAATATTTCATCTATTTTTTTTTTTTTTTTTTTTTTTTTTTTTTTGTTTATGAACAGTGATTTTCCTTTACAAGAAAATGAACAAGTACTAGTTTTGGTGGTGTTTTTTAACTGGTTTGTGCAGGCCATGTAATTTAAATTTAAAAAACATTCCATATACTATACTGAATTTTAAAGTTGAGATGCAACATGTAACATTCTAATAAAGTGTGCTTCAAAAAAGTTTTAATAATTGTAATGCAGGATTGGTTTTGAGTTCATTCAAACCTTTCCATCATGAAACCCATTGGCAAGTTCCCACTGGTTTATAACTACTGAAATAGATCATCAGAAGACCACCAAAACTTTTGAATTCTTCAAAAAATTTGAAATTCACTTGTCAGAATATAGGACAATTTATAAAATTCAGTTATTTTATATTTGTTGTGTTTACAAAAATTGGATTTTATTTTTTTTTTTTTTTCAAGCATACTGTCTTTGTTTTAATTTATTTATTGTGTTTAGAAAGTTAAATTAAGGCTTTAATCACATTAATAATTAAATATTAATAAATTTGCTTAATTATTTATCTTCTTTTTTATAAGAAATGTTTTTCATTTTCATGTGGTAATTGACTGACATGTATTTTTCTATTCAGAACAATTGACTTGGTAATTTGGCAAATTTTAATCAGTCTGTCCATTAAGCAATTTTAATTATAAACTCTGAATTCCATGAAGAATCTCTCTACTAATTATGAAATGCAATAAAATAGACAAAACATTTTTATTTTTCATGATCCCATACTCTGCATTCATCTATGTATTTACTTGAGTACAGAGATGAAAATGTACTTTTTTTTTTCCTGGTATGTTATTGCCTTTACCATCTAATAAGTCATTGTTAAAGTATTAGTAGGAATTTTTTTACTGTTGGTAATAGAAAGAACCAAGCTAAAAACATTAAATAGGAAATAGATTTGATTATAAGCCAAGTTAGAAAATAACCTTGTCCTATACACAATATAGCCCATTATCATCTAGTTTTCAAAATCTTTCATTTTAATCTTTCAAGAATATTTAAAAAAAAAAAAAAAAAAAAATAGAGATATCAAGTGTTTAAAAATTTATTTGTTTAAAAATACACTCACACATTCTGTGTATTTAGGCAACAAATGTTCTTTAATGCAAATATTATTAAATATTAGCAGTAGAGCCCGGCGTTGCCCGGGGATGTAACAGTAAGAGATAGATCAAGTATCGACCATCATAAAAACTGAAAAATAAAATTGACAAAAATTATTGTTTAAGGTTGACAGACACGCATGTCTTAATTAGTTTTTTTTTACGAATTGGTTAAACCCAAATTCAAACAAAAACATTGTTTACAATCGTTATGAGTCTATCGATTGGTGAATAGAATTTTATTATAAACAATTGTCTTGTAAATGGAATTTTTAAAGCATTCTGAATGTAAATAAAGAAAAGTGTGCAAGACAATAAGAAATAGTACCTGACAAAAAAAAAAAAGTGGATGTTTGTTTTATCGGCTGAAAAATGTAAGAAATCTGATCCCATATATAAACCTGGGTTTTTTAACCTAAGTCACTCCACGGGATCGCTAAAACATAGAGCATAGTCTGATGAAAAAGATGCCAAAGTTTATGAAAACAAAATTCTATCGTCAAAATGCTTATGTTTTTATGAAGAGGATAGACTAAATTATTTTTTAAAATTTTTCTATCTTTTTAGAATATTCTAAATTTTGATTTGAAAAACCTTGTTTCTCTTTGTCGCAACAAGGGGTAGTAAATAACATAGATAATTTTTAGTGCGTTTTTTTGTATTTACACACATTAATTTGGAAAATCTTACAAAAATAAAAATAATTGTCTGATGTTAATGAAACTTTCAGAAACTATTCACAGATGATTGAAATTATTATAAATGTTTTTTTTTTTATTAAAGTCATGGCAGTAATATTTTTTTTTATATTTATTAACACCCCCATAACTAATTTTATGAAAAACTCTAGAAATTCGAGACCATCGGTTTTAGTGATTACAATAGTTAAAAGCACAAGGCTTTGAAGAATGCAAATCATGTTTTTTTTTGTTTTTTTTTTTGTTTTGTTTTTTGGCCAATGTACCTGAAAATCAGCTGTGAATTGTAACATACAAAACTCAAAACAAACATATTATTTAGTTTCAAATGCTTTTATTTGTTTTAATTTGTTTTTTTATGAATATGGACAATATTTTCTGAAAGCAAAAAGTTTTTTCAATGAAAATTGAATTTTTAATACAATTATTTCTTATTTCTTTAATTTTAAAAGATTTTTAAAAAAATGTTTAAATTGAATTTTAAAAAATATTTTAACATTAGTTAAAAGCAACATCAACCTTTCAAAATGTCTGTGTGAGATTGTCATTGTCTAGTGCTTTGAAAATTGTATAATTTGAACCAATCAGATTAGCCATGGTAATTAGAAATGTAATTTTTTGTGTTTATAGTCAGACAGTAATTATCAAGTAACGGAAGACCAACCAGAATACAATTTAGTTGCATTATTTGAGTTCAGCATTGTTCTCCGCTGTTAAGCCCTTTACTTTTGGCGAAACACATTATGGAGAAGTTAATTTGAGTTTTCAATTTCAACTGAGAAGGGTACTTACAAGTAACAGTATCATCTTATGAAATTTAACTACTGCTAAACTTTAATTTATATGATCTTATTTTTATATTAATCTGTTATGACATTTTTCCATAAATGAAATATCAAAATTAATAAAATGAATGGAAATACAAATAACACAGTAAAATGTAATAAATGTACATAAAATTATAGTATTTTATGTACACTTTTGATAAAATTTCATAAGAAAGGTACCTAAATTAATTAGATACCTTTTTCTTATGAAATTTAATCTCACTATTAAGTCTTATTTTTTAATTTCTTTATATTTTCCATAAAGCATCGTAAACGTAAAAATGAAAGCTAAGTACAAAAAATAAATAAAAAATTAGAGCGCTGAAAGTTTTCCTTAAAAGTAACAAGGTAAATAATTTGTTCACTTAAATAATTTCACTTCCTTCCATCCGTAGAAAAAGAATCATCCTCCCGTAAGTTATCTAAACGTCATGAATGTGCCTTTCATCAATCGGCGTTTAAGCGAAAAGGTTATGACTTGCTTTTGTTTTATTTTCAAATTAGATTTTTCGCAGAAGCTAAGTTAAGCTTGGTTCAAAATATTTTAAATAAACAGTATAATTTCTGTTTTTATTAAAATCAGTTTTGAAAAAAATGATAATTGATTTTTAAAAGAATATCAAAGTAAGATTTTAATCTTTTTATCAAATCGAAAAAATGATTGAAAATGATTATCTGTCTTTCTTTTTTTTTTTTTTTTTTTTTTTTTTTTTTTGACAAAAAAAAAACAATACTTTTAACGAAAATTTCAGACGTGCTAGTAACGATTAAAAAATGTAAAAAATACCCCAAAAAATACTTTTGATCTTTCCTCTTTAATAATAATATGAACATTAGGCGATAAAATTTTCGTCAAGTTGAAGTCTTTTTTCATCATGCTATGCTCCTTTGTTTACATTTTCGTGGGTGAGTTGTCCCCTTCCATTCTCGATGTGTCTTAATCGTGTTTTCAAATTGATTTTATTAAAAAAACAACTGTTTTTTTCCATTTTCGGCCCCGTTAGAACCACCACAAGGTAATTTTATGTAGTCCTGTGAAGTTTTGTTGAAATCGGCTAAAAAATGTAGGAAATTCGATCCAACATATAAACGTTACAGACACACACACACACACACAATCTGCGTTTTATAATAAGTCAGATAACAGACATTTTGTGTTGGTTATTTTTATTGATCAACTTCTCCAAATGGTGAATGTTGTGACATGGCAAGGTGTGACACATGTTTTTTAATGTTTTATTTATATACATTTGAGAATGCAAACTCTTAGTTGCATAAGCATTATTTCAAGGCTCATTATCGAATTTTTTATTTTTACTATTTGATTTGGCTAATATTTTGGTATTGTTTGTGAGTAGCTC